CTGAAGTCATCTCGCGCTTCCGTTAGTTGCAAACAAAAGTAACAACTTCAATTTCAGACAATTGCCCACTCACCACAGTCGCCCCTCTGCATCGACGCGCGGAGGCTCTACGTCCACCCCAAAAACAAAAACCCTCTCAAGTCGCAAACCTGGAATCCGCGGCGCCAGTAGCCGGCCGACTTATGGCCCCCAATGATCGGCCATCAGTTCCTATCGAAGAAGAACACGAGTACAGCTCCATTGCACCGCCGCACATGAGAGACACCCGTCGCTGACTTGCGCGCCAGTTATGAAGCGCTCCCGCCCAACTTCTCCCTCACCGCCAACATGCTTGCGGGCGCATTCGCAGGTGTTGCGGTACGTCTCCGAGGTCGCCGCCGTGTATATATCCCGACTGACCCGATGATAGGAACACTCGGTGATGTACCCCGTCGACTTGCTCAAGGTACGCAGCTTCCCACCAAGCTCTCCATGCACTGCCGACAGCGCGCTGACTCCGGACAGACCCGCATGCAGATCGTCAACCCGTCGCCGAGCGCCATGTACAGCGGTATCTCGAACGCCATGGTCACTATATCTAGGGCGGAGGGCTTCTGGTCACTGTGGAGGGGACTTTCGAGCGTGGTAATGGGCGCAGGTGGGTTGTTTCAGGCGAGCAAGACCGGCAAGGAGAACTGACAGAATGCAGGTCCCGCGCATGCCGTCTATTTTGCATCCTATGAAGCTACAAAGCACGCCCTCGGCGGCAATGAGGGAGAGAGCCACGAGCATCATCCCCTCGCGGCAGGTGCGCAATACCACGACCACACCAATGCGGGAGCAGCTACTGACCACCAACAGCTGCTAGCGGTGCCGCGGCCACCATCTCCAGCGATGCGCTGATGAATCCCTTTGACGGTAAGACGCGCACCACGACCTCGCTCCGCGCCTACTGAATCTCGCAGTCATAAAACAACGCATGCAAATGCACGGTTCCATCTACAAGTCCGTCCCCCAATGCGCCCGAGAGGTTCTCCGCACTGAGGGCGTGGGCGCATTCTACGTCTCATACCCCACTACACTGTGTATGACGGTGCCATTTACCGCACTCCAATTCATGGCCTACGAATCGATGTCCAAGGTCATGAACCCGACCGGCCGCTACGACCCCTATACGCACTGCTTCGCCGGAGGTATCGCCGGAGGATTTGCAGCGGGGCTCACAACTCCCCTCGATGTCATCAAGACGCTATTACAAACACGCGGCAATGCTCGAGACGCAGAATTGAAGAACGTCTCCGGCCTAATCCAGGCAGCCAAAATTATCCATCAAAGGGAAGGATACAGGGGATACTTCCGTGGTCTGAAACCCCGAATCATCACCACCATGCCAAGCACGGCAATTTGCTGGTAAGTTTTGAGCTTGGACACCGCAACCGGTATTGATCTGACACTGCATAGGTCCGCATACGAGATGGCCAAGGCTTTCTTCATTCGGAGGAGCACCAACTCATCAACGGCCATATAACAGAGAGACGACTATTTGACTGATCTTCTTTTGAACCATTACGAGAGCCCTCTGATTCCGCGATATGCGCACTACCCACGGAACGATATACACGCAGTGTCGCGGAGAGTAGCGACCATGGCAGTATTGGGCATCCAAGGCAAGGTCTAGCATTGTGTGGCGCGCTGGAGGAGCATAGGGCTGCGTCGCGACGCTTCTTCACTGCCATTGTATAGTCATAGAGGCTTTTGTGGAAGCCGATCTGGCGGCGTACTGGATGCTTGGTTATGCGAGCACACGACGGCATGCGCATTCTTGTATCATATAGCAAATTCAGTGTCGGCGTCACTCAAGACCCAAGAACATTTTCGCTCTTCAGCCCAAACAAGGTGCGTAATCGATAACAGCCGGGCGCGAATAGCAGCCCCACTTGCACATGCGCCTTCCTCGTGGCTGTGTGAGCACGCGTATCCTGGGTTGACAGTATTACCTTGTGATCTGATGTAATAGCGCGAGAGAGAGCGTGCCCAGTTGCGTAGAGGATGCATGGATGCGTGAGGACAAAGTCGTCTTCCATGGTCGTCGCTGCTCAGCCCTCGCGGTTGCGAAACGCAGCTACCTACGTCACACACCCGCGCGAACTAAGACCGGCGACGAATCTACAAACACGAGCCCGAGACTGGACGCGAGACACCTATTCTGTCCTCCACGCCACCCCCCGCGTGAATTGGGCGCATCATATACATGTTTTCCGCTATGCGCGCCAACACGACGCAGAAAGCCTACGACGAGGCTTTCCTAGCCTGCTCGACTGCAGTCTACTTTGAGGGCCAGGTCAGTGCCCAACCACCCCCCAAGTGTCGCATGTGCCCAGCATCACTGACAGAGAGACATATAGAACAACGAGAAAGAAGCGCTGCGATCATGGAAAACCGCCCTTGACCACATCTACTACCACAACGCCCGTCGCAACCCCTCGACCTACCGCCCCGCGTCCGAAACAGAGAGAGCACTGATCGAATCGCTACGCCAGTTGGAGCTGCAGTGTAAAGAGCGCGTGGATCTATTAGAGGCGCTGAAAAAGAGTCGCAAGGAGTCGAAAGAGAGCCTTGCCTCGCTCTCGTCAGACAACGATGCACCCACACCACCACCCCACGGCGTGCCCCTATCGCAAAACGATCCAAGCGCATCTACATCATGGCTCGGAGCCGGATCTATACCACCCATAGAGTACACAGATCTCTCAAGACCGCCAGCATTGCCATACCGTCCGGCGATGGCGCCACGGAAGAGCTCCGGTACTGGCTCCATACGGGACAACAGCTTGACCCAGACTCGGAGCGCATCGACGCTATCCCCAGGACCAGTAGGAGATAAAAAGACACGTACCCCATCCCCGGAGAAGAGTGGCAGAATGCTACGGACACTGAGACCCGGGAGAGAGAGCAAGCCATCTTCGGCGAAGTTGCCCAATACGTTGAGAAGTCGCCCGGATGCTTCAAAGGCAGCTACCCAAGCGTGGAGTGTCAAAGCCACAGCATCCTCCACTCGGCCAACATTAGGGGCCCCGAACCCATCGACCAGTTCTCTTACACCCTCCGCCCGCTCATCCCTCGACAAGCCGGCTGCTGAGAGACCGAGTGCTTATTTTCCGAAACCCGAAGCACAACCGCCGCCTGCACAAGCACCGTTCTACTTTAGAGCTGGCGAGGGGTCAGCATCAACCGCATATGCGGTTCCACCACTTGGTGGTGAGACTGATCCGGGGCCGGTCAAACCTGCTACAAACGAGCGAACAGCGCCAGCAATACCCCGAAAGTCTGTGGGTTTGAGTCGACTGAACAACGCGCAAGGGCCCAGTACACCATTACCATCTTACCGAAAGGAGTATCCCAAGCCCACACCGGACCCTCGATCTCTTGCCGCGTCTGCTGCAGCCCATTCGTACGGCGACACTGGGGGCGAGCGAGGTGGAGTGATATGGGATCCGACGACAAGGAGACTTGTACCGAAACCCAAGAGCAACGACACACAAGCGCGAAGCAGTTCAGAGCAGGAGGACTCACCTGAGTCTGTATCACTGGAAGAGGACGGAGATTTGCTCAAGCAGAGGCCACCTCCAGTGCGGAAGGGCAGGGCTAGAGGCAATTCGATGCGTGCAGAACTACCAGATACCCCAGGTGCGGATAGTTCTGAGGCGGAACTGGAGCCAGAAGAGACGGATGAATGGAAGCGCAAAACGGATGAGATCATGAAGAATTTGCCACGGGGCGTCGATAAGCAAGCAGCACAGCAGATATTAAACGAGATCGTGATACAGGGAGATGAGGTACACTGGAGCGACGTATCAGGACTTGAAGTTGCGAAATCCGCCCTGAAAGAGACGGTAGTGTACCCGTTCTTGAGGCCTGACTTGTTTATGGGTCTGCGAGAACCTGCACGCGGCATGCTCTTGTTTGGACCCCCTGGAACTGGAAAGACGATGTTGGCCAGGGCAGTTGCTACAGAGTCAAAGTCTACTTTCTTCGCCATATCAGCTAGTAGTCTGACGTCGAAGTTTCTGGGCGAGTCAGAAAAGCTTGTTCGCGCCCTTTTCCAGCTTGCAAAGATGCTGGCGCCATCAATCATCTTCGTCGACGAGATCGACTCACTCCTCTCGTCGCGTTCGGGATCCGGCGAGCACGAAGCATCGCGACGCATCAAAACTGAGTTCCTTATTCAGTGGTCCGATCTGCAAAAGGCAGCTGCCGGGAGCGCGGTCACGGACAAGGACAAAGAGAGGGGCGATGCAACTAGGGTTCTCGTCCTCGCAGCAACAAACCTGCCGTGGGCGATCGATGAAGCAGCAAGACGAAGGTTTGTGAGAAGGCAATATATCCCACTGCCCGAAGATTGGGTCCGGAAGCAACAAGTCCAGACGCTATTGAGCCACCAGAAACATGAGTTGAGTGACCGCGATCTGGATCGTCTGGTCAAGCTCACTGAGGGTATGTGATGATCATTGAGGACCTGAATCGCAACACTAATTTCTTTCTAGGTTTCTCTGGTTCTGATATAACGGCGCTCGCGAAAGACGCTGCAATGGGCCCTTTGCGCTCACTGGGCGAGAAGTTACTTTCAATGACGATGGACCAAATACGACCGATACAATATCAGGACTTTGTAGCTAGTCTGCAGACTATCAGACCGTCTGTAAGCAAGCAAGGACTGAAGGAATTTGAGGATTGGGCTACACAGTTTGGTGAACGTGGAGGCTGAAGTACTAATTAACGGGCTGGCACTGCGCTTGCGATAACGAATCAAGTATCTACATTAGTATCTGTATGGCAATTGTCTCGGCGTCGTTGGCTTCAACTGCAGGTAGCATGCTCACCCCACCTGCCTGGGTTGAGGATGGCTCCTTCCGTCTGGATTGTGCCCGTGACTTAGCGCCACCTCAACAAGAGCCCATATCACACCTAGCAAGCTGTTCTTCTTCATTCAATTTTCCCTATCATCGCTACTAGAGCAGATAATGGCGCCCCGCAAGAAGACAGAAGAGAAGGCCACAGCCAACGAGGCCGCAGATCTAGTATTGGAGTATCTACGTGAGTCACTCACCTCACCTCACATCTGAGAGCTCAACGATCGCACTGCACCCTATACTCAAAGACTGACTGGTCGCAGGCAAGCAAAACCGCCCATACTCGGCTATCGATGTTTCGGCGAATCTACACAACAAGGTCACAAAAGGTTCATTGATCTATCACTCTTATCCGACAACGACTGATTCAGGGCAGCGTCTGCGGCAAAGATTCTGAAAGACCTCCACGAACAGAAAGCAATTGAGGGGCGTGCCGCTGGTGAGCTTGGTCGAGCCTATCTGCAATTCATATCAATTGACAACTTCAGGCAAGCAAATCGTATACCACGCTTTACAGGTATGATCCAATCTTTTCTCTTACCCAGCATCTGCTCAGATCTGACCCACTTGTAGAACGCAGCCGAAGCATGCACCACTGAACAACTCGCCGCTCTCGACGAAACCATTCTCGATCTCCGCACACAAACCACCACTCTTGTCGCAGTCGCAAAGAATCTCCGTGGCTCCTTGTCCAGTCTCAACTCCACGCTCAGCACGGCAGATCTTATCGCCAATGTCAACACTCTTGAGACAGAGAAAGAACAGATCGAGTCTAGGCTTGATGGACTGAAGAAGGGAAAGGCGAAGAAGGTAGGCTCAACGTACTCGGAGTGATTTATGCATGTTCGTGCTGACTCGGCAAGGTCACGACATCAGAGCGAGAAGCGATTGAGAAGGAGTGGAAGAAGAGCATTCGTGTGGCAAAGAAGAGGCAGAAGATTGTGACGGAGATGTGGAAAGAGATCAAGGAGAATTTCCCTGATCCGCAAGAGAGAGAGGACCAGAGGGAGATGTTCGATCTCGACGGATGAGGGTCTGCTGCGCTGTCAGAGTGGCGTGAACGATGCTTAGGTACCATGTGCTGGCGATGTTGTACGATGTTAGATGTGAGCATACCAGGACGATGTAGTGAAGTCAGATAGTTCAGGCTCAAGACACGAACTACTTGAAGACATACAAAAGCGTATGAAACTTGCGTATATATCATTCACATCGTGCTTTGAACGTAGCTAAAACGCCTCCAACGCCACTCTGGCAAACCCGCAATGATGCGAACCAAAAAGCGAACAAGAGATGAGAGGTTAGATCCAACGGCAAACAAGCGCCTTTACAATGCAGTGCAGACACCAATGCATGAATTGCACGAAACATAGCCTGCCAGGCCAGCTGGCGAGCCTACAGAGCTACCAAGACTGCGCAAACAACATCCCAATGCAACGTGACAGAACGCAAACGGCATCATGATCCAGGTAATTCGGAAACTCAAGAGCGCTGATAGGAAAACGAGCTACGGAGGTCATCTCTGATCTCCTGCGACAAATTATCGTCGGCGTCGATGTGGCTGGGATCCTGAGCACGCGCCAATTCTTCGAGGGTTTTGGCGAGGGCGGCGCCTTCGGTACGGCCACGGTCTACGTCGACGAGCATCATGATGGGGAAGGGGAGGCCGACCAGGATAGCTAGAAACCAGAAAGCCTATAGTTGAAATTAGTATGAGAGGTGAAATTCAGAAGTGTTGAGCAGACTTACCGGTCTAATCTCGCCATAAGCATCGGTGATGGCGCCTACAATAGCGGGACCGAAGACACTGCTGCCTTTATCTGTAATGGCGTATAGAGCGTAGAAGGCGGCTTCGTAGCCAGGAGGGATGAGTTCGCCGAATAGCGCACGGCAGTAACTGCTGAGACCACCAAGGACGAAGCCGTAGACTGCACCTAGAGGGTACATCTCCCACTGCTGCTGCAAACCCAGGTATCCTAACCGCTGGACTGCTGGTATGTACCCTAGAAGACCATAGATTGGAATTACTTCAAAGAGCATGATGCAGAGTAGGATTGTTTGTGTTGGCGACAGGCGGAAGAAAGCAGACAGCCGTGACCACAGGAAGGCGCCCAGAACGCCGAAGACTGTTGCGATGACGTTTATTAGGGCGAGCATGGCGTATGACATGCCCAGGGTTGTCTTTGCGAAGAGCACTGCTGTACCGGATACAGTGGCAATGCTGTCCGAAAGCAGGAACCATGCTGCGAGGAAGAGTAGTACATCCTTGAGATGTCGCGCGTGGGTCGCTGTACGGCCAAGGGATTTCCACGAGTATGCAAAGTACGCGAGGGCAGTGCCAAAGTTGGAGGTTTGCGCACCGATATGCAGAGGCGGTCCTGGACGGGGACGCAGCCAGCGCGCTGTCGGTAGTGTGAAGACAAACCACCACGCACCGATGACGAAGAGGACCAGGCGGAGGCCAAAGTTGGAGGATTGGAACGCGATGACGATGAGAATACCGATAGTCTGCACAAGCAAAGCAGCAATGTAACCGATCGCAATACCGTAGGATGAGATCTTGGTTGCAAGAGCGAGTTCCACTGAAGGAGCGGACCTGCTTCTTGCCCTCGGAATTGTCAGATCGGCGGCTGAAAGGTTACTCGGCAACAGTGCGGTTGTCGCATCAGCGACTTCGTCAAGAAGGCCTTCTCTTTGTCCAAGCTGGTTTGCGTATTGCGCTCCTCGTATAATATTCTCCTGCGTTGGAGTTTCACCTCCTCTCTCGTCGTCTTCTTCTGTTTCCGCCTCGTCTTCCTCGTCTGCGTACGATTCGTCGGCGATGGAGTCGGCGTACTTGACCGTAGGGTGGAAGCGCACCATTAGCGGTAGGAAGCTGTTCAATAGTACGAAACTGGCACCAAAGCATGTGTTTGAAATGATTGCCAGCACTGCGCCTAGCAGATACACCTTGGGTACCACTGGTAGGAAAAGCATGGTCGCGATGCTTCCAATAAATGCGAACCATAGGAGGAAGGTCTTCCTGAACCTCCCATGATCCGCTGCGCCGCTCATGCTAATGATCAGCAGAGCTTGTATGAGAACCGATATGCTGAAAGTGTACATGGCGAAGCTCGCAGTGTTGATCTCGATACCGAGGATATGAACGACGCATTGTCCCTTTTCAGGATTCGGTTTGAACAGAGCCTCTACGGCGTTGGTGGAGAATGATGGGCCGGGATGGACGGTAGGCTTCGTGGCTTTGCACGGTGTGGAAGGATCGGACAGTAAGACGCCATTCTCGCGCGCGAGCTGCTCGAGCGTTACAGGTATGAAAGACCCAATACCGCAAACAACAAAGACCTGGGGTGGTTAGTGTCGGTGCTCGCGTAGTTTATAAGCTTCACGAGGCGCGTCCGCAGTAGCATCACGAGAGAGATACGCGCACAGCTTTGCGACATTGCAGCAAGCTTGCAAAGGCCTGGGGCAAAACGAGATGGTAGTAGGAAGGAAGGGATAAGTACCTCGGCAGCCCATCCATACATGTAAAAGCCGCGGAGCTCCTTGTCGCTGGTCAACCGGGTGTCTTCGCCCTCGTAGTGGGGCTGCGAGTCGTGGGACTCCATGTCGAGGCTCTGGTCGGAAGAGAGGCTTTGCTCATCGTCTGCCTCGTTGGACTGCGATATGGACGGCACCGAGACTTTGGACTGTGAGGATGCATTGCGCGCAATGGTCGGGCGCTCATAGGGCGGGAGCTCGGGCGCGCGAGGTGACATCGAGCGATTGGAAGCAGTCGTCCGCAAAACAGGGTCCTGCGCTAATCAACGGAAATGCGTCACCGCAACTGAGACATGATGAAGGATCGAGGGATAAATGCGACAGCTGACCGGGCTGCTATTCAGGTCCGAGGGCAACTTCTAGTGGGCACGCTGAGGTCAGGCCCAAGCTGGGGAGAGATGTGGAGTTGTTGGGGTGGCAGCGGATGATCCCATGGGCATGACCTGTGAACATCTGATAAAGCGTCTACTTGCAGTAGAGGCTTATCCGAGAAAGACATTGGACAAGGCGCTTGCGCTCAAGCTCGCATCTAGATAGACTACTGGCCGCCGCAGCCGCAAGCTCGCCGAGCCGCGGACAGCAATGCGGTGAATGACTGAACGTACTAGCGATTAAAGTGGCTAGCTATATCGCATCCGCGCGACGAGACATGCAGTGTCGTTGACGCACATTATAGACAAGCTGGGCCCTCAAGCTTGACTCGGTTGCTGATGCGACTTCAGAGTGTCTGGCTGGAGATGCAGGGCTCCATCATCAGCGTGCATGGGTGGAGCGAGCGCCAAGGCGCTAAACCCAATCCACGCCCTCCCTCCCGTCGTCGGTACGAGAGGCTGCTGATGTTTCAACGACCTCATCGCTGCAACCACTCCACCCGCCCACGTCGCGCGCACCCCATCCACGGCCACTCCGGACTAATTCACGCCGCTCTACGACCGCGACTGCCATCACGACGTTTTGCAGCATTCACAGTCGACGATGCGCTAGTCGGCAGCGCCCCGACCTCGCTTTCTTTCACCTGCTGCATTCGACCAGCGCCCTTTCAACACTCACTGCGCCTCGTGCTGTCTCGGCGCTTCCATTCTTACGCCAAAGCATCTGCTTTAATGAGCGCGCCTCACTCCTAACCTGCGCATTTCACCGCCGACTCCACCGCCAGCCCTCTGCACGCAGCCTCGATCACGATTCAAACACCGCGCGGTTGACATTCTCGCGAAAACATCAAGGAAAAAGCGCGACCACACACTTCAAGAAAGCTATAGACGCGCGCAAAACGGAGGCGCAGACGGCGCCCCAGGCCGCGGGACGGAGGACGACGTAGTATGCCAGGCATTCTCACCATGAACCACACCGGGTCCGACTCAGCGACGGCTTCACGAGATGCAGAAAACAGGAAGCGCAGCCACAACGGGGATCTGACCAATGGCGGACTCAATGGCGCGCGAAGTGACACGCCGGCAGGGGGACCTGCTGTTAATGGGGGTCCTTCGCGCGAAACCAGCACCAACGGCGCATCCATGGCAGTCACAGCAACGGCCGGTCCCACGCTGGAACAATACTCGGATCTGCCCCCGGAGATCGCTCATATTGGCCCCGAGCAGTACATGTCCTTGTCGACACTCTTGTTGCGGATATCCCAGGAATCTTACAATGAGTTAGAGGAAGTCTTGAAGAACATGGCCGCCATTCAGATAGCGCCAGTGTCTAATGGCGCTCTTCCCAACGGCCTTGGCGCGGCGAATGCACAAGTGAATGCAGAGGCGAACAAGCGTAAAAAGCTGGTTGTGCTTCAATTCGCGCAGGAGCAACGGGCTAAATTCATCAAGCTGCTAGTCCTCACCGAGTGGGGAAAGAAAGCTTCCGTTGACATATCAAAGCTCATTGATTTGCTGGCCCACGCGAGTACACAGGCAGCCCATATGGATGCTGCTGACTACAAACTGGAAAAGATTAAGATTCTGTCCAACAATGCCAGAGAAAACAACCCGGACGTTGCGACCGCCCTGGAAGTGCTATCGACAGGGAAAGCGTCATGGATGCCGAGCCTGGGCTACATACCGCCTGAGCCTATCTCTGCTGAGCAGGCCCTCAAACTCCTTCGGTACATGAACACCTCTCTCTCCATACGCCTCAACGTACACGAAAACCTCCCACGACACCTCCAAGACTGGCGCGTGCATTCTGGACGCGCAACTTTTGTTATTGCCAACGAGCTGGAATTCGACGTCATGTCCTTTGTAGAGGATGCTTCAGAACAGTGGTTTCTCATCGATCTCCGGTTGTTGTTCACTCCTGCACCGACCATCACCGTCGGTAGCCGTTTCTTCATGCAACTCAAGCTGCAGGCCGACGTAGTTCTGAAGGAGAAGGGTCTGACCGGCCTTTTCGACTTCCTGAACAACTTCGTTCTAACGCACAAGATCTCAGTGCTTCGATCACAGGCTGTTAATCTCGTTCGCAGCGGCTGGGCTGGATCTCTCAAGGTTGAGCCTGTGCATCGCTTGCTCGTCGTGTCTTATTGGACTGATAAGCCTGGAAAAAAGAATTGGATTGAGATTGGCGTATCGAACAACAAACCAAAGAACGGCAAGGTTTCGTGGAGAGGGCCACCCATACCGTCGCTGACTACGCGCTGGTTCCGCCAGGGCAAAGAAGTGAAGGATGTCAAGTTCCATTTTGACTGGAAGGATCTCTCCATGGAACGCGTTATCAAGCAAGTCATCGCACGCCACACGAGTGATATCTTGCGATCCACAAAGGAGAGTTTCAAGTCTGGAGTGACGGCGAACGCACATCTTTCCGAGACCGAACCTGCAGACTCTACACTCAACGCATCGCTGGGTACGAAATCTACATCAGTTACCCTATCACTAGAGTCGGTCACTGGTAACTACATCCTGCGACCAGCTAGCGCACTATCAGCGCGAGCGGAGAATGCTTTCAACCAAGGCAGAGAGCCATCACAGATTGCTCATGTAATGACGCAAGTGCTAGCCGGCACATTGCTCAGTCTGATCCAGAAGAACGCACAACAACTCGGCTGGCAATCGGTCGCAAGACAGGCTTTGAAACAGCAGGTAGTGTCGGCTGCTGTCAAATTGGATGTCATCTCTTCCACGCTATATTGCCCTCGCGGCTGGACACCAAACTGGGCATTGGCAGCGGTAATCGACTCTTCAGGTGAATCGTGGTGGATCTTTGAAATCGGATCTGGTGGAAATAGCCTCGAATACGCCGAGCAGATCAAGTTGGACAGGCCTGATGGAAGCTCCTTACCCATCAATCGCAACACCTTGGCAAGTCTGGAGAGGGTCGCTGTGCAGCTTCTGTCGTTCCGCGTCACAGCTCGCCAACTAGAAAAGGAGAAGAAGAATTTCAGTTTGCGACCTGAGTTAGGGCAAGCAGGCTCATCCGTGGAAGCTGGTTGTGTTCCCCGTCGATGGGTGCTGCATGTGCAAACTCCGGATCTTCTTGTGCCCCAAGCAGACGAAGACTCATGGCTTGAATCAGACATCAAGATTACATGTGAAGGTTTAAAAGTTGGGGTTCAGGACGTCTGGCATATGGCTGTCGGTAAAATGGTCAAGTCTGTTGCTGCAGACATGCATAAGCTCATGGCAGCTTCACCACAGACCGCCTTCAAGTTCTCAGAAGACGGCAACTTCAGGATTCTCCTTGCCACGCCCTTTGGGCAAGATATCCTAGGAGAGCTGCGAGCACGACTGCGAGATGTTAACCGTCTTCGTACCTTTGCCAGTACCCTTCAGAAGCGTCAAATGCGGCTTTCGTCTTCCTCCTTACAGCGCGTACAGTTCCAGTATGGTCCATCGCCATACTCTGCGACTGTCAACTTTGGCACTGAAAAGGAGCTTACCATCGAGCTGTCACATGACAATCCGCACCATCGGATTCTCCATCTGCTTACTGAGATCGCCAACGATCGGTTGCCTTCGTTCCCAACCACGGAGGTCAGTGATGTCGATGGCCTGGATCGCTTCTGTACGACTCTCGTCGCGACCCGGCCCCTCTTCAAGGCCTTGCGCGAAGTCGAGGAACGATCGCCAGGCAACTACAGTAACCCCGCAATCCATGTTCACTCCGTCCTCAAATACCGACTCACCTATGACAATCCGGTCTGCACTTTCGACGTGCGCCTTCAGCCCAAAGATGACCGGGTGTACTGGTTTGTCGAAGACAACTTGCGTCCAAAGGATCCTCCAAACCAAGCCACAAATCTACCAACTCCCGAGCGTGCGCCTGGTCATAGGCGTCTCGACAGCCTACAGGCCAAGCTGAAGGAACTCTTCAGTGGGAAGGGCCCAGGATGGTTTGGTACCCGAACCGGCATGGTGGCGAACTTGGACGCGATCCCTGAAGCACTACTCAAGCTGGATGAGTGTGTTTTGAGTTGTAAAATGGCGGGAGGTTATGTTGCACCGCCACCACTTGAAAAGCCACCGCAACAAGCGCAGAACCAGGGATCTGGTCCGGGACAGGCGCCTGCACAGGCGAACGGAAACCAGCAGGGAAACCAGCAGCAGCAGGCTAGGATGCAACAACAACAGCAGCAAGCGCGTCAGCAGCAGCAAAGACAGACCCAGGCGCAAGCTGGGAAACAGCACCCGAACATGCAGCAACATCCGAGAAGCCAACCTCCGAACGGCAGACCCACTCAACAGCAGATGCCAAACGGCCGCCAGCAAATGTCTCAGCAACAACAGCAAGGTAGAGGCGGTCAAGGAGGTCGTCCAGGGCAGTCCAAGAACGACGTCATCACCATTGATTAGAAAACGTTGGGATGAGACCAGCATACCAGCTGTACCTACGTTCATTCCATTCACGATTTGTGTACAATGTTTTCTTTGCACGTTCTTCACGTTTTTCTAGCATTGGGTTAGCGGGACTACGGTATAATTTGCGCTTTCAACAGGTTCTGCTGTCTTGCGGTTCACGGTGGGATTTCCACCGGATTATGTATTTTATCTGACATGGACGCGAGGTCGGCTTTTTTTCGGCGGACGATTTGGGCCCGCGCTTTTCTTCTTTTGCTTCGTAGCTTGTATGATCCTTCTTTTTATACCATGGTGGGAACTTGCGACGAGGGTAGACATGAACAGTATCACGCCATGGCTAGATGTGGTGCTGGCGATCTACCGATATAGATATCAAATGCATAGATGCTATCAAAGGTGTATTATGCTCAAGCTGGAGAACTCGTGTGCACCGCAAAGGCATGACCATGACGTGCTTGTTGACCCAGTCCGCGAATTCTATATCAAGAACCTGTTGGCTCGACCGGGTACTGCTGCACAACAGCCTGACACCTCGTGAAAACCTCACCCTTCATCAAGTCTTCGCCCTGCATATTTCCATACCTCTTCAGTTCTGGGCTAACGATCAGTTTGAGTGGCCTTTCATCGGGATGTGGCGACGACAGCAGGTCACCGCTTCCTGGTGGCAGGATCATCATTACTCTGTATGGTTGCGAGCAGAGTTCCATCCATGTCTTCGCGCAGAGGCGTATAAGAGTCTCTAACGCCTCGGCGTCCTTCGGTTCGAGAACAGCTATCTTAGATAGTACCTGGTGTATTGCACTCAGAAGCGAGGTGATGGTAGCTTCATAGCTGGCTTTCAGCTTTTTCTCATCAGGTGTGGTTTCACTTGATGGGTTCATTAGATCGAGAACCGCCCTGGCCGCCTCGTAGCGACGGGCTTCAGTTGCCGCAGGTATACTAGGCCACTGTGTAACATCTAGGTTTATGCATTAGTCAAGTATCTTGATTCGGACGAACGAGGGCCTACCTTTGGTATAAATTGGTAACCATACATCATCATAACTCTTTCCTTCCAACCCCAAGATAGCGAACGGAGTACAAAACACGTGCGTGTATAGTAGAGTCCACATAGTATTCTGCAGGATAGCCTTCTTTAACACCCTTGTATTGACTTTGTGGATGCGTAACAGTTGGTCGTTGGAGAATGGCCATTCCACTTCACGGCGCATGTCCCATTCTAGATTCGTGAAGTCTTGTACCTGACTCACTACTGAAAAGAATTGAGTAGAGATGTCACGGTATCGCATCACCTTAACACTTCGAGCTTTCGTGCGCTGTGGGTAGGCCTTGTCGATGAATGCCTGCTTTAACTCCTCGTTTGCTAGACGAAGCTGCACAATCTCGAGGGCATGTTTCTCTACCAGCTCAGCGTTTTGTTTCTTGAGCAATTCTCGAAGTCGTTGTCGTTCCTCGCTGAACTGAGTGGTTTTCGCCCGTACTTCATCGCGCATGCGCAGTCTTTCTTCGTCAGCGTTGGCCTTGACATGTCTGAGATGAGAAAGTTCTTGTCTCTGCTCCACCAGGGTGGTCTGAAGCTGCAAGATCTCTTGCGTGTGCTTCTTGGTCAGTCCGGCTTCCTGTCGTTTGAGGTTCTTCTCATGTCGCTTTTGTTCTTCTCGAAGTTTCTCTCGCTGAGTTTGTAAATCTTCGTGCAACAGCCGTCCTTCTTGTTCCGCATTGAGCTTCAATCGAGCGACATTTGACTGATACTCATTCACTGTCACTTGATGTTTCCCCATCTCTTGCCGCGTTTGTTCGCAATGTTGCTCGTATTCGTTCTTCATCCGCTCGGCAAAGCTAACCTCTAGATCTTTTATGCGAGTTTCGTAGGTGTCTTTCACTTCTCGCAAGTGCGCGTCCCACTTCCAGTGTTCTTCGCTCATCTGGTCTTTAAGAGTGCTAATCTTTTGCTCATACCGCTTTTGCTCCTCCTCTTGACGAGCCGCACCTAATTGTCCTTCGGAAGATGCCTTGGTTGACTTGTTCTCTTTATCCTGTTGCTGTGAACCATCGTGTATTCGGGCCTCGAGATAGCGCTTTTCTTGTTCGTGGATTACAACTTGCTCGCCCAGCATGTCTTGAGCTTTCAACATCTGTTGGTGCTTGCTGTTAACCTCCGTCCTCAGGCTCTCCACCTCGGTCCGACTAGCTCGCAGTGTACTTTTCAACGTGTGAACCTCGATCTTCAAACTATCTAAGAGCCCCGCGTCTGCTCGATAATTGTCCAATGACCGGTGAGCCGCATCAAGTGAATGACAAAGCTCACGATATCGATGCAAAGCCTTGGCAGCCTCTTCTTCTGTTGGTCCATCCAACAGTGACTGTAGCATTGGGAATTCCTCTCCAGCTCTAAGCAAGAGTTCCTCAAATCGAGGTACATCCTGCGGGTTGGATGAGAACTGTCAGTACTTTGTCAGTCTCAATTCTCATGATGTACCATTAGATGAACTCACAACCTCGTCGTGCGGCTCCAACGGACCTTTGTCGCGCTGCAAGACGGCTTTTGTTGGTTTTTTGGGATCAACTTCCTTGGATGTTCCGCCGGATGATACGCGGTTCTTTCGTGAAGTAGCAACTGTTTCGACTTTGGCCGAGGCAGGGGTGGCAAGGCTAATGCTACGGCCCAACTGTCTTGGCTCACCCGACTGATGTGTAGGTGACACTCGTAAGTCGTTTTTGTCTTTCAATCGAGCCTGCCGAAGTACATTCATGACTGATTGCTTGGCTGATGATACACCTGTCGTCGTGCCAGGTGGAAGTGCGTCGGTAAAGCCTCCTTTACTTTAAGCTTGGCGCAAGTGCTTGAGGTTCCACGAAAGTTTGACTCGATGTTTACTCTGCTTAGCTTGATAATTCGCTTCTAGGAGCCTGTCGTACGCCCCCAGGATCGTTCGTACCCTGGTCACGTATACCGTTTGAGCAGATTTCCAAACGTCTGCGACAAATTCCGATTTATTGGAGGCGGAACTTCACAAGACTGAGTGCGATACAGTGGGTCTGCGGAGTAAAAAAATATACCCAGGTAAGCTGGAGCCTTGTGCGTCACGTAACCTTATGGTGGCTTACCGCACTCCTAATTCGGCCTACCCCACGCGAGCCTTCGTAATCGGTCTGTCTCCTATATTCGCAACGTCATGATAGCTTTCCGGAAGCCCCGTTACCTGGTGCGAGTGGCGACTTCGCACCGTGATGCCTCGTAAACGCGTTCCCTACTTAGGCACTTTTGTAAGCTCTCATAACATGGTAATCCTAGAATGAAGCAGATCTCGGAAAGGCTCGCCATACAAATTGGGAGCATCGTCGCCGTTGGCTCCTAACCTCGCGACATCCTCAAAGCCTTACTCTTAGACAAAAGAAAGCATGACTTCCAAGGTTGTCGTGGTCACATCTGATTGGTCGACCATCGTGTGCTGGCCTGCGAGTAAGCCTTGGAGGACGCCTCCGTCCTTCCGGTGGTGCGGAAAGCGGCCCTGGAACACACGTTCCATGCACTAGGGGGCCAGGAAACGCCAAAGCTCGACTTATAGAAAACACCCTGCAAAACACGGCAAACAGTGCATACCTACCTGCGCCTGATATAGGCGCATGTTGTATTGGTATAATTTCCAACTGGTCTTACAAAGCGCAGGCAAGCATAACTCAGAAACCTCCAGTCTAGACACAACAATGTAGAACGGCAAGGTGACATATAGTATAGGTCTAAGGGGTCGTAACGAACTTCAAACAATAGCACCGATATCGTACGCATCAACCTTCTTGTTATCCATGAAGAACATTTGTTACCCCCAAGGACTGCGACGCCGCTGGGGCAGTCTGTTCTGTTTCAGACTGGCTGAAGTTTGCTTCATCAGCCTGTGGAGGTAGTCTACCACCTTTGCGCGTGTGCACTTTCCGATATATAAGATAACCGAGAGCCACTGCTACAATAGCAGCCGCCACACAAACGCCCGCTATGCCACCGGTCGAGAGCCTACGAGTGCCAGAAGGGTCGCCGCTGTTATCATCTGTAGGTACGGCAGTACTTGAGGGCTCGCCAGTCAAACTCGGGGTCTCGGAAGATGCAGGCGATGTTGGAGGAGCGCTTTGCGTCGAAGCAAGGGAGGCTGCTGTTACGGATGTTGACTGCAAGCCATATGTACTCGAAGTCCAGCGCGATCCCTCGGAGTTCTCCGTTGATAATATAGGCCGCTGGGTCTCGTTTTCGATGCTGATGTATACGCCGGACGGGGTGAACATGTTGCTTATTCTGAGGCTGCCGTCTTCTTGTGAATCCAGCCGCCAAAACTGCCCAGTTGTTTCTTGGGTTGCGAAAAATTGTAGGTCGATGATCTGATAATTGGTGACGCCTAGCGCGAAGTCGTCCCCTTTCCCCACTGTATGCAGCCAATAGTATCCTTGAGAGCTGGTCTTTGTTGCAAACCACTGCTGACTGTCATGCCCGGTGACAGGCTCCAATATCACCGAAGCATTTTCCGGGGTAGAAGCAAGTGCACTAGACCAGCCGAGCGACTCAGTCTGCAGTATGAACGTAGTAGACACATCGATGTCAACCATTGTGGCAACCTTGGAAGGCTTAGTATCGAGAGGGACAGTTTCAATCGCGGTGTATAGAAGGCTACACATCAATATATATGAAGATTAAAACCCGAGGTTGTTTCCTGATAATCCCATTACAGCTGCGGCTGGTTCTTTTTTAGCGCCAACGCATGGTGTGCATCGGGAAGCATTCGGGAGCCGCCACAATATTGCCTTGTTGCCTATTTTGACTCAGCCTCGTCCGCAGCATGCTGCGGTCTCTTTCTCGCTTCTGATTACCGGTACAGGATACCATTGTATGGCGCATTCACCTAGTGGATAATACTTGGCTGATCTTCCGCTGCGATAAGTCAGGCTGTGGGTACCTAGGTAGCCGAAGAACAAAGCGCAAAACAGTCACATGAATTCATTCAAACAGCATGATCATGGTTTATCATGCATCCAGTTATGGATAGACTACCGCGCCACGCGATAGTTTGTGGTGCTTCCACCAAATAGAAGCCTCCAAAGAGCCGCCGATTAACTCCAAGACCAACTTCAGCGTAGCATTATAACGTACGGGCTGTTGCTGCCATTCTTCCACTGTGAAGCCGACTTTATCATAGCGGATATCCAACACACATGCGATGTCCAAATCTGAGAAGAAGTTAGTGACCAATGACATGGAGGTCTAAGCGGATCGACCGACCTTCCTTGGCATTCTGGTAACGTCGAGGCCGCTGATCTTCATCATCGGAGTTTCTGAAGATCTCCAATTGCGTCTTGCCAGCACTCAGATCCCTTAGTGTAAGCTGAAATGACACCTCCTCTTTACGCGGCTGATCCGACAGGACTAGGTCACCCTTATTGAGTAGCCATGTGAGTTGAGATTGCGCGTACGTGGCTCCATGGATCTGGGTCATATCCTTTTCTACGTGGAACGTATTTGAGTAGAGTTGGTCGAAGCAAACCGCGTAGTTGTGTCGGCAAACATCGGTCTTTCTCAAGTTCGGTATCGCATCTTTCTCGATACCACACACCACTGCTCCTCGAACCACTGCTGTCCAGGACTCCTTCGGCTGTCGGTAGCTCATCTGCATCTCTTCCTCGGTGATCGTCTCCTTGAGGCGATGTTTTAGGTACTCAGACGCCCCAAAACCACCCACAAGAAACAAGTGCTACACGAAGAGTCAGTATTGAGGATCAGTCGCTGGTGGATCGCTAGGCAGATACCTTTGGACGACTGCCTCTTTCTTCGATGCGATCAACATGTTCCCAGATGAGCTCAACTATCTGTTTGATGCAGGAGTCGAAAAAGCCTCGCATTGTCGATCTACAAATCATAATAAGCAGTGATGATATCAGGAGGCACTAAACATACTGTGGAATGGTAATTAGGCCCTTGTTTACTTTACCAAAAATGTCAAGGTTCTCCAACTCCCCTCGTAGGCTGAATCGAACATCAGGTGTTGAGAATGCAAACTGCTTCTTGACATCGTCAAACGCTTGCATGAGTTCTCTCATGGCGGGAGTTTCGGAGGCGTGATTTGTGTTTTTGTCGATGTCCAGATTTGGGTCGAGCTTTAGATATTCCTCCTCTCCAAGCAGCATTCTCAGCCACTTTTTGAACTCAAGGTTGATGAAAATGGATCCGCAGCGACTGCCTGGTATAGTAATTAGGCTCTGCATGGCCTCAGACTCAGTCTTACAAACCTGTGGGCTTGCCAATCTGCTCCAATTCGAGAGTTGGCGATCGTTGCGTAACTCGATATGAAACAACATCCTACATCCAAGATTAACCGACCATTGAAACAGCGCCAGGTACAAAAGTGTCATAGAAGGCTTACAACAGTACCGCCACCTGCGTCGCAGAGAATGAAGTAGTCCTTAGACTTTTGACGCCGTTAGTTACGGATACCTCCAATCGGAATTGACGCTTACTTGGAGGAATTCTTCTTCTTTTTCGTCACGATACCACCGCGCAGTGTAAAGCGCAGCTGCCTCGGGCTCTGTCACAAACATGATTGGCCTCAGCTTTGGAAAGTTGTCCTTATTAAACCCAGCTTTCGTGAGAGCTCTGTATGTGGAGTTCATAGCCATATAAGACCACTTCTAAAGCTTCGTCAATAGATTTTCACGCCGAGAGATCTGTGGACATACTGTGGGTATTGTGACAACAATATCCGTCGTTGTGTGTTTGGCGAACACGTTATTCTCGTCTACTCGCACTTCCATTTGCACGTAAGCAAACAATTTCTCGAGGTAGTCTGTCACAATCTCCTCCGGGCTCTTGTGAGAATACGGCGGTAGGTCGTTCTGGCCTTTGCTCAACATCATCTCGTCAAAGTTCAGATTCTTCATGCCGTCCAGAACCTGTAAAGTCATGTCAAGTTCCCCTAATAGATCTTCCACGCCAAGCTCCAACTTAGTGTGAATCATTGTCACTGCATCTGCGCTCAGACTCTTACCCCATTGCTGCTCCCCGGCCTGACTTGAACGCGAGTAAGAGATCACGCTTGGAACCTTCTCCTCGTTGTCCATCTGCGGACCCCATTGCTCAATTACATCGATTTCCTCGAGAGAGCATTCTGCACCTGAAGGTGTAGCCCACGCAATGCCTATATGCATCCCTTATTTTAGGACTAGCACGTCGTACGAGACGAAACAATGTTCACTCACCACTGAATGTCGTGCCATAGTCTATTCCCAAAACCAGTCGTAGTTCCTGAGGTTCCTGTAAAATCTTTTCCTCGCCTGCTGGAACAGTGGCATCAATCGGCCCATGACCTTTCCCAGACCCTGTACTGATAGGTGCTTCCAGTTCTGCCTCCTCGGTCTGCTCCAGTGCAGATACATTCTCGAAGTGGTAAATTTTGTTCATTGGGAAAGGTTATGCAATGGTATTCTCAGGCGGTCGTGGCTTCGTTGAGACTTCGAAGATCTGGATCTGATCCTCACTTTCCCATTGGATAGTGGTTCCTGTCTTGGATGGTGAAGTAGAACTCTAGACATACTAGAGCATAGAGTAAACGGTAGGGCGAAGACGACGTCAGCCGAAAGCACGCATCATAACTGGGTAGTCAACGGTTGGCACGTCGTTCAGAATTTGCCACACCCATAGCACACAGCCGTGTGCGTCCGTGCTCATGTGGTGTGACAGCGATTTCAAGTATGCGCCGGATTTGGAAGTAATTGACGAGTGAGCTGAAGAGGTCTCGTGTTCGTATGCATGAAGCTCATAAGCGAGGCAAGGCGTGGGACCAACAGCTTCGCACGCTTACCGCCACCTTACTGCGCCTGCGAGAATAGAGTGCGGTTTTGGACTCAGACTAGGGTCTGATCTTTCGAGATTGGTTGGGGCTGGTCTGTTAGATGCGGTATGACAAAACGCTTTCCTAGGCAGAAGCGATATGCGTGGCATTAGGAGTCTCTATAGGCATGCGCAGAATGCGAATGACGGCTGAGACACCTTTTCCCACACTTGATGCGGGGGTCGCAACGTCTCAACCCGAGGGTCAACAACTCTGCTCATAATTACTTGCAAATCGCATGTACCGGTGATACCAACCACCACTAGTGAGCGCTAGCTTTCGAAACCTTCAACACTGCATCTGCGAGTTCATCACGGGTTGTATGCATGGGTCGTCAGGTTGATTTCGACAAATTAGTTATACCTCGGCATCGTACCGGATTCAGAAGAAGCTGATACTTCCTTGAGATTGGTAAGCACTGAGACAATTAGTTGAAAATGACAAAACAGTAATTTGGGTACTATGTAGTTGCCCAACGAGCTCATGAAGAGATGTCGGTCATGTCCTCGACCAAAGGCGGCAAGATGTTAGTATCACGGAGGAAGCCCGTGCAAAAGTCTGAGAACGTCCAAACGTCGCCAAAATCTGTTCTCAGCAACCTTGCATCCGTCAATGAGCCGATACGGCGTGGATCGTTCAGCTCTCATCTGGAAAAACCTAACGGTGGAAAGCGCGAAGCTATCAAGGCATCATGGAAAGAGAGTAAATTTCACAAACTCAAAACTAAGATGACCTCCGAAAGGAAGACAAAGACTGAGAAAATCGAGTCTCTAGAAAAGCAAAATGAGAGCACCGAATTGACGACTGCTCTTGACACTCCGAGTACGCCGCAGCCGGAGTCTTCATTAGCGGAGGCGTTACCCACTAGCAATAGCAATGAACCCACTGCTGACTTGGAAGCTCCCGAGCTAAGTACCACTGTTTCACCAACACATTTGCCCGATACCTCATCCGAAGTGTCAATCATCTCGCTCGTTGCCGATCTCGATCAGTCAACGAGGTTTTTGGATGATGGGGGCGATAGCCAGGAAACGGATTTTGCCATTTCCTCACACGACCCACCCCTGCTGACACATCGTCAGCCTGTCGAGCCGACAACAAGACCTATATTCAGCATTTCCGACACATCAGAGCAGTTGCAACAAATCAGAGCGTTGATCTTGATGCAGGCATATGACTTCCTGACAGAAATGCCTGCTGATACGACCACCATGGACTATGTGGACCAGATACTCCGGGCGTATCGCGTATTGCTGCAGAGGTACAGTTCGAACTCGGACAATCTACAGCAAGCGAAAGATCAACTGAAAGTATACCATAATGTCGAAAAGGAACTCAGGGATACACAGATGGAGTTAAGAGAGACAAAAGGAAGATTACAAGATGCGGAAAAGCAAAAAGGTAGATATGACAGAGAGTCTACTCAGCAGAAGGGACGATCAGCACAATTGGAACGACAGTTGAGGACGCAGCTGTCTAAAGACAAAGCACAGTGGCTATCTGAACGTAAAACCCTCTTGGACGATCAGGAGGGGCTAATGATGTCGTATAGCCAACAGATACAGAACCTGCAGAAAGAGAAACAAGATCTCTATCAACATACAACACTAACGCAGCGAGAACACGACCAACGCTATCTCCGTTTACGAAACGAGAAGAATGCCACGATTACGGACTTGAAACAACAGATCGATCTTCTGACAGATGGAATTACACGCGCAAAGAAATCTGCGGAAGAGCAACTGAGCGTGCAGAAGGCCACGCTCAAAGCAGAGCATGAGCATGATCTACTCATGCATGACGAGGATGTCAAAAAACTCCGGAGGGAATTGCATATGCAAAAGAGCAGTCTCACCAAGGCGCATACACAAGAATTACAGCAACTGCAGGAAAGATCTCAGAGTGAGAAGGTGGAGCTTGATAAGAAGCACGATGAGGAAATGGCACGATTGCGATCTCAGCGCGAAGAGCTGAAAGTGGCGCTTGTTGTGAGAGACCATTTCAAGGGCTTGAAAGATCGTGAGCTTACTGCGCGATACAAACGAATCTCCACTGAGATCGAAAACTTTGCAAGCATGGAGTGGAACACTCGATGCGAAGCCAACTGGCCCCTCTCAGAGGCACAGCTTATGCGGCTTCATCCGAAAAATACAAGAAGACTGAAGCAGCAGATAGTTCAGCACTCCATGTGGGTACTTCTGTATGAGCATATTTTCAGTCTACCATTCAAGGTATTTGGGAAGGAAGGCGTGAGGATGAACAATGACTGGACCAGTATCTACGATTTGGGTAAGTCTGGTATAGTCGCTCAGATGATGTGAGACTAATTATTGCAGATGTGTCCTCACTAGAGTGGCCCACGATATCTTCAGAAATTGAAAAACAGCGGTACGAGACTGCTCGTTCACTGCTTACGGCCATTGAAGCACCTGGTCAAGGATCGACGGAACACCAAGAGCTACGTACTGCATACAGCGAAACAATCTCAACATTGGTTACGATCATCTCACAGGCTATCGAAAGGGTTGCATCGCTGAACGAGAGAGACCTGAAGTTACTTGATGCTCTTGTGAACCTCAGTGGGAGGACTTGGCTGGAATGCTGTTCTCAGAGATACAGACTCATCATGCAGCTGCCTATAGCTGAGGGCAATATTCTCAATCTGCCCCGCAAAGAAGCCCAGGCACTGACACTGGTTGTCAGTCCGGAACTAAAGCGGTACGGCAGCTCTCAAGGCGAGCAGCTTCACGGCGGCGAGCCGATCACCGGCTGGAAAGGACTTACCGTATCGTATCCAGCATGATAACAGGTGCGTTGGCAGAAGCCACGAAGCGGGGTCGATAGGACGAGAATATTGAAACTCAGCCTTGCATATGCGCTAGTGTATACGTTGCTTCTCCGGTGAGCGCATGCATCAACCAGTGCATATAAGCCTACATGCAGGCTGCCACCTAGTCAGAGGCTCAGGTGGCGCTCATGAGATTTTGCACATGCGATTCCAAATGAGTGGTGGCTAATTCTGGTGAACAAGGCTGAGATCATGCCCAGGTGAGCATGATGTGGGGCTCCTGTGGGCACTCTCACCCTTACCCTTTACTGGTCCTCGTCACTTCACACCGTAGCTTTTCAAGCTTGAAGCATTGATTTTGACTAGAGCCACTTGTTGGACGTGATCAGATCAGAGATCAGGAAGGCGCTTGGGCTGTTTCAACGGAAGTGGTACGTATTGGCTATGCCTCTTGATTGGCCGAAAGATTTTTTGACAAGTACAGCAAAGGCTTCGGAGATGGGGTTACGAGATAGCTTCAGAGCCGTCGTGAAACCGAAACGGGAGCCAGTCCATGCACCCAGACCACGAGTCAATGTACCAGCACCTCCGACCATTGAAAAGGGTGCATCTTCCCCGTTGCCACTAGCAAAACCCGTGTTACAGCGTCCGACCACAATAAGGCCCTCGAAACCCGCACCGCCAAAGCCACGCGTCACTCCTGAAGAAATCCGAGCCCTTAGAGACCTTATCAGGCAACGATATGCGCTTGACATTCAAATATGGGAAAAGAGAAACAACACAGTGTTTCAACGGAGGCTATTGAATGAGAAGATGAAAAAGGCTGATGCAGCTCTGATAGACATCAATAGGTGCCTAGTAGATTGGAATTACCCGGAACGCTTCGAAAGTCGCGAGCAGTACGAGAAATTTCAAGAAATCAAGCACCGGATAGAGACAGGATACAAGAGGAAATGGCAAGACGAACCTCCGTGGGTGCATATGGACACTGGAGGGGATCCAAGCCTGGGGCCCTTTGAGACTGATAGTCGATCGTTGTCTTCAAGACCGCGATGATGGTGAAAGGAAATGGCAACGTAGGCCGGAAACAATTGTAATGATAGTGTTGGTACGACTTGACTTGAAGCGCACAAGGTGCGACTTACCAAAAGACCACCTTATTTCATCTGCAGTTCAGATACATGAAACCTGCGCCGCAGAGCGAAGTAGCTCCAAGTACCCCACCACTGACTGGATATGCCCAATACACTCCGCCGGGTGCCTTACAGGACACAGTCACATATGCAAAGGACAAAGTCCGCAGCTTCACCTGGCACATTTTCCAGCTCACATTAGCATGTGATTGTACTGGTATTGCCTACCCAGATTCGCAGGTTGTGTTACCTCGAGAGGAGTACGGTCGGATTGTTTGTGCTCCAATACCACAGGTCAACTCAACCGCACCTACGCCGCCGGTACGCCGAAACCCCTAATCGGATGCATCGTATACTGAGAACACCGAGGGTCCACTGGTACACATGCATAACTCTGTTCCGAAGAGACAAGTCGAAGGGCCTCCATCATTTCAACACAGTGCCCCCGGATATTGAGGCGACAGAGAACGTGGCCATGCGCATTCTTGTCCGATTCATCTTCTTTCGCAGAGTGTTTTAATAGCGGCTATCGGTGCGACTCCAGTCCGAAGGGCGCCTCTGTTCGTCATTGCTCGTGCAAAGCGCGTCGCGGGGGTTATGCGGGTTGGGGACGATTCGACGGTTCGGCGCGTCGTGTCTTGTGGATAGGGCGTGGTGATCGTGTAGATGGTATATAGAATCGGTCATGTCTCTACAGCATTGCAGGCAGTGTACATGGCCCGAACTTGCTGGCTGACGGTATGTGAGCAAGTCTGCATGCTCATTGCGCCGGCTGCGAGATTGTGTCTGTGCGCTGGCAACGTCATTCGTTCTCTAACCGCGTCTGGACAACCTCTTGGCTTTTCATCTTGCATTACAACATCTGTGTCTTCGAATCTTTGCTCCTCGCAAATGTCCATCAGAGTTTCATTTGATTGAACTTGTAGCAAGTCGCATGTCACATCCACACCGAGCCTGATAGGCATGCAACGCAAATCGATTATGTATCCATGGATGCTTTGAATAAGCCCAGTGTCTCGCCTTGCCGACAGGCGCTGTGTTCTCCTCATAATTCATACACCGCCTTGAAAATGAGAGTTCGTGTTTACGAAGAAGCCATCCTGTTCAATCGCCTACTGTTCACCGCTGTGTGAAGAGCGTTGGCCACGATCCAACAGATGGTAGCCATCCACTCTCCATACTGGAAAGAGGAAGCTATACAAGAACAGTCGTAACATGTGGATCAGTTGGTAGCTCGTTCTTTTCAATGCCTTTCTTGGGCGTTCATAAGAGTGTTACTGCCAAATGCTCGCACGCGCCTATCCGACTTTGCAAGACTACGCAGGTGTCTGCACCGTCACTTCCATCAAGGACCAAATCGCGCGCTGGTGCGAAGGCACGACTTCTCACAATAAGTACAGATCTGTCAACATCGCATGTCATTACCGCTACCCAGTGTACATCCGTTCGTCAATATCGTCAACATCGTTAACTAGTACGCCTTCATCGACGCATGTGGCCAATATACTTACAGGACTAGCACCCAAAAGACAAAGCTGTACATAAGGCTACGATGGCTCGTAATAGCACACCTTCGATCAAAGTTGTCCTCAAGGGCCTATTCAGCAAAAGCAAAGACACGAGTTCTCCAACGCGTTCAGGTGAGCAAGCCCTCCGGACCAAATACTTGTGTTACGAACACGATAGTTGGATCCTTGAGAGGAGTCCCTAAACCGAGTGCGCTCTCTATCTAGAAGCCGCGTATATATAACCTTCGAATTAGTGGTCTGCGTAGTGAAGGTTGCTGACTCCCGCTGATAAGATGCAAATAACTCTGCCAACACTGGTCCTACTACCGACGCCAGGGGCACGTTCGCTCAGCCTTTAGCCCCGCAACCATCAAGCCTTTCGCAGAGTATCTCTTCTTCCCTCATGCCGACGCCGGGCTCTCAGCTTTGTCCCAGCGCAGTCATGCCGCTGTACGAGCAGATCAAAGAACGTGGCCACTACCTCTGGGGTGATGCCCATTACTCTGTTCTTACGAATGTCGTTCCTGGACGTAACGACCGACAGCTCCACAAATTCCATCGCTACCTATATCTCGGGGTACACTTCGATCATACGTTCGCGGAAGCTCGTCTTGTACGCTATGAACTCCGAATAGGCGGCGTTCTCGAGAAGGGGACGATCTTGAGAACATGTCGTGGACAGGACGTCAATGATGCGGTCGAGAAATTGTCAACTCTGCTAGGAGTATTGGTGTCGTGTTCAACCTGTACGATATCGGGTGAATCAATAACGAAAGATCTCGGTGAAACTAACAGTACGGCAGCAAGAAGAGCGGGTGTAGTCAACGGATGGTTCTTCGAGGGGGCACAGATGGGGACCGTGGATAATTTCGAAGCACTCGAGGAAGATGAGTTTGCTTTAAAGAGGTGAATCTAAAGGGCTTGATGAAGGAGTATGGGCTCATAGGCAAGCTTCATGCTATTGTATGGGAACAGAATCAACCTCTGGTCCCAAAGCCAATTATTTCAAGCATGAAACTATGATCAGGTCGTTTGCCTTGCAGTCACTTCGATCTATGACTGGGTACCATCAATTAGTCATACCACTACAGATGACTTCCGGAGTGACGCAGGGGGAAGATACCACAATGAGCAAAGAGATTGTACGACTTCTCGCTGATTGGCGGCACCTTGTTGCGGCGTTACATCAGGTCGTGTTAGCGATGGGTCTTCGACACCTCTGCAAACGCTATTTGTCCTGGCAAGCCGCTTTTGGCAGCGCTTCAACACCGTTCCCCATAGATGCCGTCAGTCTACCGTATGAACACCCGAATCAGTGGTAAGCGTCTACCCCGCGTGTCCAAGGTCGAGATCGTGAACTCACCGTGGTCAGGTGTCTTGCCGTTGGACCTCATGCCGCTCTCTTACCCTGAGATGCCGCAGAGAGTAGCGCCTTTACCTGTTTGACAGTGTGTATTGGGCCCGAACTGCTGATCCTCGCCGGCCATATAAACCTTCAATTAGTCTTCTTCTTCTCACTCTTCGCCACCTCACTATCAACAACTCAACGCAGCATTTGACTTTCGACCTTCGACTTGAACGAACGATCGACGCTCGTTCACGACAGTCTTCGGCCTCAACCTGACGAAATCTTTCCAACACTAGCTCTATCTTCCCAGCGACAACTTCAGAGTGATCATCATGCCCGTCCCCATGAACTCACACAGTGAGATAGAAGATGGTGAACTGGTACGCCAGACGTCAGCCATGAACATCGCAGGGCAGCCGTGGCTGGAGAGTACTGAAAAGGTATGCAATTTGGTCGCTGCATCACCTGAATCGGCTAACAAGATCAGCTCGAGAAGGTGCAGATCCTGAAAGAGATTTGTCTTGGCAACTGTCGTCTTCTTTACGGCAGCGAACGTTTCAAGTTCTACGGCAAGAACAGAGTCCCTCATCATTACTCAACAAGGAGCCTAACACAACGCTAGATATCGTGGTCTGCGAAGATGATGACACCAAGAAGTTCGCCGCCATCTTGACCTGCAACCAAGAAGGCCAAACGAAGCTTTTGCGCACGGAACTCAGCCTGTGTCCAGTTGTGGCGGTTCGTACGCTCGTGGACGGTCTTCAAAAGGACACAGCGAAGCTCTTTCGTACGTTCTCTTCTATCTCGAATTCATCGACACCATCGATACCGTGAAAAACCTCCACACCTCTGAGCGTCACTAACTCGGGCGCGTAGTGAAGTATACTGTGGGGTCTCAGATACGAGGACAGCAGGGATATACCGATAAAGACACCAATATATTCGAGTTGTGGGACGGGGCGCACGAAAACCGAATCCGCGGCCCGGACGATGATACACAGGGTCTTCTGCGCAGCTGGAGTGATGCACCAGGCGCAGAAGGTCGGCCTCCATCTGGTCCTCGTGGCGATGGCTATTTCGGTCGGAATAACAAGCGCATGCGGCCTGTCGAGCGACCAGAAAAGCCCGTGGTAGAGACGGAGATCGTTGACCTCGACTACTATGACTAGGAACGTATGGAACCTTGGAGGGGATGGCTGGTGATCGGAACTTCGAGAGGAGAAGAGTATAACATGGGATCCAGTTCGACGTCGTCGTCAGGGTCATGGTGTGACAGGGTTCAGTGGCCGATCCATCTTCACCTGGGATGAGCTTGAGTTTCGGCGCGGTCCTGTTCTCAGCGCAGAGGATTGGTGGTCGGTCATTTCGACCATCTCGGGCTTTTCTTTACGGTAGATAGTTGGCCTGTCAGAGCCTTGTGGTACGACGTGAGCGTGGCGGAACAAATGAGATCAATCTGAGGATGTTTGAGAAAGCCTTGTCTATCGACGCGTGTGCACGTGAGATGGAGTTTGGCTGGGTCCAAGCGCCCGCGTCATGACGTACCACACTCCCCTATGCCACCCGCTTTGCTAATGGCTATGTCGCTCAAACCCGCCTTCACGTCATGAACAGCCCTTCCAAACGACGGAAGAAGAACGATGGCTCCGGAAAGCCGGTACGAAGTTTAGACTACTTTTTTGCGAAGCAGACGGCTAAAGCAACAGCCAAAGATGCGCCGACGAACGCAGGCCCGAGCGAGCCGCCTGTGGACGAAGACAACACAGGACTGACCGACGAGGAGCTCGCGCGCAAACTTCAGGAGCAATGGGACAAGGAAGATCAACAGCAGGCGCAAAACCAGGAGCCGGTGAGCTCAAATGAGCTGTACGAAGAGCCCCAGAAGGCCAACACGAAGGATGCAGATGGGCAGGTTGGAGTGTCAACATTGCCAACGCGCGAACCGGCTCTAGAAAACACGTCGCCTGCCGAAGCTACCCAGAAGAAGAACACGCTGTCTCTTCAGTCGACCGCATCCGAAGAAGACGTGATCACAGCGAACATACCCTTCGACCAGAGCCCTCTCGAATTCGACCCTTCGGAATACATACCAGAGTTACAAAAGCATTGGGTGGTCGACGGAGGGCACGCGACATACGCGCTGTTGACAAGATGTTTCATCTTGGTCAACAGTACGACGAGTCGCATCAAGATTGTCGACACTCTGGTCAACCTTATTCGGACGATCATCGAAAGCGATCCTAGCAGCTTACTTCCAGCGGTCTGGCTCGCGACAAACGCAATATCGCCCCCGTACATTGATCTGGAACTTGGGTTGGGAGGTTCCGCGATCTCGAAAGCGCTTAAGAAAGTTTGCGGACTGGATAATGCAGGCTTGAAAGTGTTGAACGCCAAATATGGCGACGCTGGAGATGTAGCGTTCGAGGCAAAGAAGAAGCAGAGCTTTACCCTGCGTAAACCGAAGCCTCTGACGATCAGGAGCGTCTTCGACTCGCTAGTCAAGATTGCGAACAGCAAAGGCCATGGCAGCGTAGAGAATAAGCAGAGGATTGTCGAGAGACTAGTACAAGACGCGCGTGGTGCTGAGGAGAGCCGATACATCGTGCGCACTCTTGTGCAACATCTGCGGATTGGAGCTGTCAAAACCACAATGCTCATCGCGCTGTCACGGGCCTTCATGCTGTCGAAACAGTCAGGTGCCGAATTCGAGATCCGTGATCGGAAAGACCTGGCGAAACTGAAGAAGGAGGAGCTCGCGGAGATCTACAGCAGGAATGAGGAGATCGTGAAGGCATGTTTCGCTCGACGACCAAACTACAACGACCTTATACCCGTACTTCTCGAGATCGGTGTCTGCGACGAACTACTCGTGCGCTGTGGACTGTCGCTTCACATCCCGCTCAGGCCCATGTTGGGAAGCATTACGCGCGACATGGGCGAGATGCTCACGAAGTTACAAGGACGAGACTTCGCCTGCGAGTACAAATATGACGGACAAAGAGCACAGGTACATTGCGACGAGAAAGGAAAAGTCACGATCTTCTCGCGTCATCTGGAAGTGATGACTGACAAGTATCCGGATCTGGTAGCACTGGTGCCCAAGATACGTGGCGAGGGTGTCTCAAGCTTCATCCTCGAAGGCGAGGTGGTTGCTGTTGATCGCGAGAGTGGAGATCTCAAGACCTTCCAGACACTCGCAAATCGTGCGAGGAAAGATGTCGTTATCGGCGCGGTGACGATCGACGTTTGCCTGTTTGCATTCGATCTAATGTACCTGAACGGCGAGGAACTGCTCAACCGGCCTTTCAGAGAACGGAGATCGCTACTCAAAAGCTTGTTTGTGGAAATACCACACCATTTCACCTGGGTCAAGAGTCTAGATGCCACGTCCGCCGACGTAGAAGCAGTCCAAGCCTTCTTCCAAAGCGCCCTGGACATCAAATGCGAAGGTATCATGGTCAAGATCCTCGACAACCTACCCAACCCCGACCTCCTCGCGGAAACCGATGAAGCCATCGAAAAGACGCCTTCCCTCCCACCAACACCTAAGAAGAAAAAGCACGCGAAGTCTAAAACAAAGGCAAAGTCCAATGAGACCGAGAAAGATGAACCGAAGACGTCCGGCCGCCGCAAAGCCCTCCTCTCGACCTACGAACCGGACAAACGCCTAGACAGCTGGCTCAAAGTAAAGAAAGATTACAGCACCACCTCCGAAACCCTCGACCTGATCCCCATCGCCGCATTCCATGGCTCTGGTCGCAAAGCAGCATGGTGGTCACCTATTCTTCTCGCCATCCGCAACGCAGAAACCGGCCAACTGGAAGCCGTCACAAAATGCATGTCCGGCTTCACGGACGCGTTCTACAAAGCGAACCGTGCAAAGTACGATCCAGACGACCCGGATTCCACAACCGTGCTAGCTGGGAAACCGCATTACGTGGAGTACAATGGTGGGGCGGGAACGCCCGCTGTTTGGTTTGAGCCGCAAGAGGTGTGGGAGGTGGCTTTTGCAGATTTGACGCTGAGCCCGACGTATACGGCTGCGATTGGGTTGGTCAATGAGGACAGGGGGTTGAGTACTAGGTTTCCTAGGTTCCTGAAAGTAAGAGAAGACAAGAGCATCGACGAAGCTACTGAGGCAGAGGAGCTGGCCAGTTTGTATCGGAAACAAGAGGCCAAGGCACCTAAGAAAGATGAGACTGTCAGAGAGGTTGAGGATGAAGACGTGGAGTAAGGGATGGCATGGCACAGTAATGGTTAGATACCCTGGAGACAACGTCATCACTTGAAATAATCGTAGTAAAGAAGTCTTTGATTGAATGTATCCTCCGAAACTACCATTTTGGTCTCTCCTTCAGTATCCTGCAGCGCTGATACTTCAGCCTGCGAAACCCCAAACATCATATCCGATTCCTTCAAAGAGATGGAGATAGGAAAATCGTTATCCTCCTCGAACGTGGGGCATCTGCTCGTGCGCACCGCATCTCAGCACTGTCGCGTGTGAGCGACACACGTGCGACATGCCGGCTTGCTCTTCCTCCGCCGTATTGTTGGCACGACCTTGGAGCGGTCGCTCGGGTTCGGCGCGAAGAGCGGCGGTGCGCGTCGCATCCACGTCCTTGTGGGTTTAGAAACCGTGGACCTTGATGGTCTTGCCATCAAGGCCCAGGCCCTCCTTCTTGTCGGTCAAGAAGTCTTGAACATCCTTGCGCTGGTCTCCTTGCAACTGGATCACCTCTCCCATCTCGGTGTCTGCGACGACGGTGCCATTGCAGGCGAACTTCTTCTTGATGACTTTGAGAATCTTCTTCTGGTCGAACTTCTTGGGCAGTCCTTGGACGGTGGTCAGAGTCTTACGACCATTACGCTCTGTTGGGGGTTGACGTCAGCCTTGCGCGATTTCTTGAAACATGGGGAAAGAGGGGAAGGGACAGCGCGCCGATGTCGCACACAAGCGCATTTCGGGGAGAAAGAAGACAGAGGGTATACGTACGCTGAATACGAATATGGATGTAGTTCTGCTGAGTGGACTTTACTTCTCCTCCAGCATCATCAGCCTCCGCGAACGGATCGAAGGACTTGAGATTCTGGATGTCCGTGGTCATGAAATCGACTGGTGGCGCTCTGCGGGTGCTGAAAGGGTGCGGTAGGGCAGGCGGTTGTCGTGTCGCGGGAAGTGGAGAGTGCGCGTGTGTGAGGAAGGTCGCAAGTAGTTGGGTGGAGCGTGGAGGGTATTAATCGGCCAAGAGGGAAGGGTGGCGAGGGGACCATCTGGGGGAGCCCGCAGGCGGTCTAAGCCCCGCTGCCAAGGCACAAGGCCCGAAACAGTCATCAGCGCTGCTGAGTGTCCTAGGGACATCCTTCATTCACCACTCCTCGCATTCGCTTGTCCACGTGTGAAATGCTCAGCTGCGTTGCCGCAAATCCCGCGTTCTGGTTACTGGTCAAAGACATGACTATCTTCGCGACATGACGTTTCCCTTATCTTGTGTCACTATCTCATCACGCACGCGCACGCGCACTGTGACTCGCCTCAACAAAAGCGCATAGTCCATCAAGAGGCTTTGGGCATCATTACTAGTCAAAGTGCAGAAGTCTCATCCACGACTCATGAGCATGTTGGGAGTGGCTCGCTGACTTTCGCGAAGCTTCCACTGGCGTGTGGATGAACCATCGGTTTCAGATCGAGATCGATGTCATCTGGATCAGTACTACGATATCATCCGCTGGCAGTACTGGAAGCATGAAGTCCCGAAGCAAGTCATAAGTGACGATAAGCAAGATGTTCAGTGGTGTTTTCAAAGCCTCATTCGCCGTCAGCCGGCCTGAGAGCCACGCACATACTGTTACTCGTCCACCTGTTTCGTATGCTCTTCGATACCGTTCGCAACTCCAAACTATCCATCCAACATGCAACAACGCGAGTGTATCTGTTTGCCTATCTAATATCCCTTCTCACTGTCCGTGGTATTCATTTGCGTCCATGCCAGCCATCCGTCGATCTGGCAGGCTCCTCTTGTCCACCAAGCTAATTGCCAGCTCACTCCAAAACTCTGGCGGAAAACCTCGTCCATGTGCGTCCTCGCCTTGTGCTCTCATCCACTCTCCGGTAGCCTTGTAAGTATAGAAGTCGACCATCATCTTCCGAGCTTTGCAGGGCCCTTCAGTGCCGGCGTAGACGATCCATACATGCTCGCTTGATGGGATCTCAGCGCTTTCTGTTGCCTTAACGAGAATAGCATCCAGGGCAGAGTCTTTGGCCTTCGCGTCTTTGACAAGGTGGGCAATGGTGTAGAGCTTGCACAGAAGGGCGTACTCGTCGTGTTCAGCATCGGATGCATCATTACGTTTACTTGGAATGCGACCGGTATAGATGAGCTGGAAGTATAGAGCAAACGCGCGAGGGTTGATTTCAGGCAGATCAAATGACTTTTGGTCAGCGTCGTTAGAAAAGAAGTCCTTGAAGTAGGTTGACCGGGCAGTGAGGAGATCAGAGTGGATACTGAAGGTTCGCGCACGCTCGTCCTGGCCGACGTGGATGGTGAGGAGATCACATCCGAAGCTACTGTTGTTAGTTCTATACATGAGGAATTGAGGGGGGAGTACCTACTTGATTGCCTGGTCTTCGACGACGCGAATATCCGGTACTCTCAACATCTGCTGATCGGCACGAGCAGGTTCACTATCCACGGCCGCTACATGTCCGAACAGACTCCCCTTGCGCGAGTTGCTAGCCTGACCTAGATTGCCAAAGAGTCCACCTCCAGTGTCAGGCTTGAAATGAGATGAGCTACCGAACCCAAATAGTGGACGAGCATTTGCGCTACTCGGCGGTGGCGGCTCGGTAAATCCGTCGAATAGGTTCCGGTTTACACCACCAAACAGCCCGCCAGGAACCGGTTGCCCAGTTGCTTGAGCAGCAGCGACTTGAGCAGCGGCCTTACCTCCAAATAAGCCACTAGTACTGTGCTGCCCGAACAAGCTGCCAGGAGCCTGCTGAACTGCTGGCGCGTTGATCCCAGAGCCATACTCGGAACTCATTACTCTAGACCCTCCTGGAATTGATGTCTCGCTAGGTATGCCTCCGAGCTGAGCGAACAAGGTAGAGGGGCTTTTCTCCGAACGCTTCGGTACATTCTCTGGTGTATTATCCATAGTGCAAAAGGGTGTGTTGGTCTCGTTGCTTTGGTTAGCTGTTGTGAAAAAATCTGCGTGGTTGCAAATCTGTGACCGGTGCGAAGGGCGGATCGTTACGGAAGGATTTGTAAGTGAAGCGTACAAACTCAATACAATATCGCCAGGACTTTAGGCAGACAGTTTGATCGCGGCTATGACGTAGTCTTTGTTTCCTTTCACGACGCAAACGCAGCTACTGGCCCACTAGGTCTAAGTTAGCGACAACGTAGAGATATCTCGCTCCTGATCGCATGAACTCTGAGGGAAGAAGTTACTGATATATGCAAACAAGCCGGTATGATTTCATCTCACATAAAGGTGGGACAGGTTCAACAGCAGCGGAAAGCGTGACAGAGCTCAGGCGGTAGATCGTGTGTGACATGAGGTAGCCTGGTGGTATACAACGTCGTTCTCTACAAACGTGAACACCCAAATAGACACCGAGTGTCCTCTGGCTGTATGATAACACCTTCTCTTACTCCGATAACAGTTATATTGTTTCTGGCTTGTACCTTGATCAACCAAAACTACCCAGCAGCGAACCCATATCGACCTTTTTGTCGTTACGTACCCTCCTTTTGCCGCCATCTGGTGGAGGTTTGTATTCACCAGCACGCTTGTTTGGTCGCTCGGCTTGTTGCTTCCGTATGAACCACGCGACGTCGTCATCTCGTAAACTCTTGCTCCCTTGAGCATACTGAAAGGAGAGGGTTCGGTATGCCTTGCAGCCATCAGTAGTAGCGTCTCGTGATGTTTCGGAAGAGGATACAAAAGATGCTTCGTACAGTTGCTGCACGATGGTATTTCTCCTTAGACCGGAACTACTCCATTCGCTAAGAAGGGCCGAAGCTGAATGTATGCCCCAGCCTTCCCCACACTCTGCGGGATCGGGTAACTGTGGACTGTGAATTCCAACTAGCTTTAGACCCGGAAAGGACGAGATGAACTCCAAGAGCGGTTTTTTCGGAAGCCTGATGTAGTTGTTGATGACAAGTACCCGCAGACTCCTCATTGCACCACTTTCGCCAACACTTCGTCCCCAGTCGCGCATCATTTGAAGTGACAGTACTGCGTTCTGTCGGCTTCTTCCAACCTCTAATGTGAGAACTGCGAGCGTTTCGATCTTGTTAAGGGCAACAAGTTGGTCAATTGTTATATCGGAAACCCGGATACACAGAAAAGTCAGCGTGCGGGCGTCGAGCTTGGCCAATCGATCGACGACAGAGGGTAGGAGACCTCCAGGGTTGTCCTGGACTCTGAACCTAGAGTGACGATCGATGTCTTCCGGAAAAGCTTTCTGGAAGAGACTCCATGTACGGAAGGACAGTGTGTCGTTGTACTTGATGTGTTCGTATAAGCGGCTAGCATATGACCATCCGAGCCATTGCAGAGCTTCAACTTCCATATTGTCAACATTCCAGACGCAAGCACGGAGTGCCATCGCTTGCAGGGTATCGCATCCTCCAGCTTGCCGGCGGTATTTCGATGGGTCCACCCTTCTACCACGAGAATGGCTTGTCCATGTGGGTACCATTGAACGGACAGAAGCCGTCGTACTTTCCCTAAAGACCAGTCCCGATGATGGGTCAAAGCTCTCCATGATTGCTTGACTGGTGAAGCGAGCGGGTACGGTTAGACTGTTGGCCGATACTCGGAGTACGCTGACACCTCATACGAGGAAGAAATTCGAACAGGTCTGAAGACTATGCTGGGATAAAACTAGCAAATGAGAAATCTGGCGTCAATGTAGGCTCCAGGGTGATCAGTTCTTTCCTTGATTGTGGCGGTGAGCTGGGTCAATAACACCTGATGAGCAATACGTTGCAGACGTGTTTAGTGATTGCCTACAGACTGATAGATGCGAGCTGGAGGCGCTTCGTTCCTCTACTGCGGTAGCTGTGTCGCGCATGTCGCGTGTGGAAAGGATGCACGCGACGCGACGGCAGGGGCACCTCGGAACCCACATTTAGGGTTAGCGCTGATCTCTGATTCGTTCCTTCCCCCAACCCTCCTCTTCCACACAATCAACGACCAAGTCAGGCAGCGGCATAGTATCTTTGATCGCTCCATGTTGGTTGATATTGTTTGGCTGAGATCATAACGTAAACGAAGTAGAGCCATTCACCCTCCAAGTAGAACGGTCTTCTGATGTCGAATGTCCACTGAGCATCGGCGCTCGAAACTCCGCACATCGGATTATGACTAAATCTCAGCACACAGCTTCAACACTACTGTCCTGTAACTTCCCATTTACTAAGATTGACTTCATCTTCTCGTCTCCTAAATACGCACAAAGAATCCACGACAATCACAATGGCATCGTCACCGGCACCAAACCCATTATCTGCCCACATCGCTAAAGGCTCCCCCATAATCCTGGACGGCGCGCTAGCAACATACCTGGAAACCTTGGGAGCAGACATAAGCGGCGCACTGTGGTCCGCATCCATACTGCTTGATCAGCCAGCCCTCATAAAACAAACACATCTCGACTACTATCGCGCAGGCGCAAATGTTGCAATCACAGCATCCTACCAAGCCTCCATTCCGGGACTAATCAAGCACCTGGGCTTGAGTGAAGAAGAAGCCAGGAAAGTCGTAAGCAAAAGCGTGGAATTAGCCCAGCAAGCAAGAGACGAATATGTTGCCGAGACAAATGAGGAAGCTCGAAGTAAATTGTTCATAGCGGGGAGCGTAGGCCCGTATGGCGCATTCCTTTCAGATGGCTCAGAATACCGGGGCGACTATTCCATTCCTCAAGACGAAATGAAGGACTTCCATCGCGGCCGCATCCAAGCTCTCGTGTCCGCCGGTGCCGATATCCTAGGCATCGAGACGATACCATCCAAAGGCGAAACCGAAGCCCTCCTGGACCTGCTCACCACAGAATTTCCCAGCACGGAAGCTTGGTTTGGCTTCACATTGCGGGATGGCTCTCACATCAGCGACGGCACACCCATCTCTGAGATCGCAGCACTTTTCGATGATGTAGAACAGGTAGTTGCTCTGGGCTTCAACTGTGTACCGGATGATTTGGGCTTGGCTGCTCTGAAGACTTTGAAGCCACTTGTGAAGAGGGGGACCTTGATGGTGTATCCCAATTCTGGTGAGCAGTGGAATGCGAAGGCGAGGGAGTGGGAAGGGAAGAGAACTGAAGGTTCGACGTTGGCTGAGAAGACGAGGGAGTGGAACGAGGCTGGAGCTGGTCTTATTGGAGGTTGCTGTCGAACAACACCGGAGGATATTGGTATCATGAAAAAGGCACTCGATAAAGGGCACTAGATGTTACAAGAAGACGTATAGCGGGAGTATTGTAGCGAAGCCTGAGGCCCTGGTGTTGGGCCGGCATGATTTATGTGTAAAAGTATCGAATATCACTTGATCTGTTCATTTGTCCGCTTGTAGATGTGAACAGTTTTGCGCGTCTATAATGACTTTCCTCGCTCTGTTGCATCTCAGGAGTGCTGGCAGGGTGACATGGAGGTTGTCCAGGTTCAATTGCCCTCCATTCCGGCTTTGCTGTCCTTTCTGACTGCTGTCCAGTTTCCAGGTACATCCCTAGAGTCCCCATTCCGTACGCTGCGCCGTATAATATCGGGTATATCGTCTGGGTTTGCCTGGGCCGCGCTGCATTGTATGCTTGGTTGTTTGATTGTTTGGTTCGATGGTCGTACATCCCTACGCCACGATTTCTCACCCATCGATGATCATATCTTCTTCATCGCCCACCGCACTTCCAGTCCGCTTCTGTAGTTCCTCTAGAATCGCTTTCGCACGATCTAACACATCCTCTGTCCCAACCTGTCCCGAGCTTGCCCTCGCATTCAATACACCAACGTCAAACTCGCCATAACCTCCGTTCTTGACCTCCTTCTCCGGGTCCACGACCTCACTCTCGTTTTCCTTGCCTTTCTGAGTCTGCCCCTGCCCCTGCCTCTGATTGACGGTGAATTTGGGATGGCTTTTCGGTATGACCTTGTAGCGTTCGAGAGCGTTGATCTGCTTGACCAACTCTGATCTTATTACCTCGCAGGATGCTCCGCAGAAGAGGGCATTGATGCGAAAGGCTTCTTTGCGCGCTTCGAGGGTACCCGGTGTACACTGCATGGCGTCATGTTGGAAAGGGATCGGATCGTTGGTGAGCTGGCTCAGGGCAGTTGCGAAGTACTTGAGCAGTTTGGGAATTTGGTGGTTGATCTCGTTGAGGGTATCGATGTGTTCGGCGGCGACTTCCCGGTACGTTTTCGGCTCTTCAGATGCTTTGGCGTCTCCGGCTTGCTGCTGGTCCGTCTCGTTTGCGATTTGTTGGTTGGCTTCGGTAGACATGGCGGGGTGTTTGGCGATTGTGGACAGGAGGGATGATTAGTGAGGTAGAGCAGTCGGTCGATATGCGGATTTGCAGTCGAAGTGTGTGCGACAATAGCACATTCGTCAGAAAGGAATGCGACAGCTACGTGCTGCGTGCCTGGTGTCTTGGAGTCGAAGCTGGGGAAGCTCAGGGCCCGCAATGCAGGCGCGCACCGGCGCATGCTTGGCAGGCCGCGCGCATCGAACCTCACCTCCGACTTTCACTCCGCATCACGGCAAGCCTCGGTGACGTCCTGGCAAGCTTCAGACGCGATACCCCCATCAACTCAAAGTCGCCACGCGTCAAAACAGCTCCAACACCACTTGCGACCCAGGAGCGACCATCGGGAGACGTTTCCGGCCCTCCATGCACATTGCGACCCGTCTCCACCCAGCCTCGAGGTGAAGGAGCTGCTCCCAGCCGACGTAGAAGAGAAGGAACACCACCACAACCATGTCAGGGCCCCCTCAAGGGCCCGGGCCTGTGAGGCAAATGAGCGTGGGAAATGGACCGCCCAGCGCAGGTTTACCACCACACAACGCCATGCCTCCACAAGGGGGACCTCCGCCGCCAGGTGCCTCGGGGCCGCAATCGCAGCAAAACTTGAATCAGATTGTAGGTACAACATTCT